AGCTCTTCAGTTCAAGGGGAGCACTCTACCACTTGAGCCACAGCGCCACTTCCTGCTTTTTCTGCTTATGTAGTGCTGAGGAATTGAACCCAGGGCCTTATGCATTCAAGGCAAGCACTCTACCACTGAGCCACCTTCCCAGCTCTCCACGAGACTCTTATCTCCAATGAACCACCAGAAAACTGGAAGTGGGGCTGTAGCTCAAAGTGGTAGAGTGAAAAAGCTCAGGGACAGCACCCAGGCAGACTAAGTTCAAGCCCCATGAGCAACAACAACCCCATCTGAAAAACAAAATAAAAGAAAAGCAAAAAGGACGAGGGATGCGGCTCAGGGGGTAGAGAGCAGGGCCCTGAGTTCATAGCCCAGTGCTGCCAGACAAAAAAGTCCCGGCATCCTTCCTCATTACTAATGCGTCACTGTGTGTCTGTGGGTCCTGGATGCACGAGGTGAGGGGCGGGGCCAGAGCCCAGGCAGAGGAACACTGTGAACAGTCTGGGGACCACATGCCATTTTGGAGGCACCTTGAAAGGCTGCTGACAGCCAGCGGGCTGCCATGGGCAGGCACAGGCTGGGAAACAGAGAGCTCTGGGTCACTCAGTATTCTCAAAGAGAGTTACTGTGGAAAGAGCTGGAGTTCTGGAGTTCCGATGGTGCCTGCCTAGAATCCTAGCTATGAGGAAGGTGTGGGCCAAAGGATCAAGGGTTAAGTGAGACCTCATCTGAAAATAGGGAAAACATACAAAAACTAAATAAATCAAAGGCTGGGTAGCTCACGCCTGTAATCCTAGCTACTCAGGAGGCTGAGCTGTGAGGATCATGATTGAAAGCCAGCCCAAAAGGGCAGCAAAGTCTGTGAGACTCTTATCTCCACTTAAGCACACACAAAAAAGCCAGAAGTGGCAACGTGGCACAAGTGGCAGAATGCTAGCCTTGAGCAAAAGAACAAAAAACAAAAGCTCAAGGACAACACTCAGGCCCGGAGTTCAAGCCCTAGCCCAGCACCAAGAAAACAAAAATGGCGGGGCTGGGAAGGTGGCTCAGTGGTAGAGTGCTTGCTTTGCATGCATGAGGCCCTGGGTTTGATTCCTCAGCACCACATAAGCAGAAAAAGCTGGAAGTGGCGCTGTGGCTCAAGTGGTAGAGCGCTAGCCTTGAGCTGAAGAGCTGAGGGACAGCGCCCAGGACCAGAATTCAGGCCCCACAACCAACAAAAAAATAGCTGGAAGCATGGCTCAGAGGTACAACAGAAGCCTAGTCAGCAAGAGGCTCTGAGTTCAAACTCTGCAGGATTCTGAGAGCTACCAGAATAGCACAAGGTAGACCCATGCCATCAAGTTCTTCACCCCGGGAAAGTAACTGCACCCCTCTGGGCCTCCGCCACCCTGTGTATGGACGGAAGAGTTCCTGGTCTACGCCTCCGAGGGCAGCGGCCTCTGATAACTGGCAGTCCAGGGTAGAGTGCACAGCAGCCTGGAGACGGTCACTGTGCCCACCTCATCCAGCACCTACCCGGTTGAAGACATTCTCGAAGCTGTTGGGGCTGGTGACGTCGAAGCAGAGGAGCAGGACACTGGCATCGGAGTAGAACAGGGGCCGCAGGCGGTCATAGTCATCTTGCCCTGGTGGAGGGGGGGACTCCTTTCAGACTCCCCCTAGCTTCAGGGGTAGACGGGCTTGCGGACCAGGCCTGCGTCTGTGCCCTCACGTGCCTGCAGGAGGTGGTCCCTGGCCTGGGAACCCCTTGACCAGAGGCCAGGTTCTAGAAGGAGTGAGTGGGGGCAAGGCAGAGGCTGGGCGGGGGCAGCCTAGAGAACTGAGGCCTGTTCTCTCCACGTCTGCTTTGCCGAGGGCTTGGGGTGAGGCAGAAGGGCAAGTAGAACCCCAGGAAAGACAACTTAGCCCCCATAGCAGGGAGAGAGCTGCTGGGGGCCCCTGAGTTTAGCCTAGAGCTGACCCTTGGGAGTTTTAGAGAAGCTGAATGGGAGCTGGGCGTTGCTGGCTCACGCCTGTCATCCTAGCTACTCAGGAGGCTGAGATCTGAGGATGGAGGTTCAAAACCAGCCTGGGCAGGAAAGTCCGTGAGACTCTTATCTCCAATGAACCACCAGAAAACTGGAAGTGGCGCTGTGGCTCAAGTGATAGAGTGCTCACCTTGAGCTCAAGAGCTCAGGGACAGTGCCCAGGCCCAGAGTTCAAGCCCCATGACCGAAGTCGGGGTACAAAGCCCAGCAGGACCCTATCCCAGACATCTGGAGCCCACAGAAGCCCCCCTCCTCCCAACTTCAGCACACCCACCTGCTGTATCCCAGATTTGGAGGCAGACGGGTTTGCCCTTCATTTGCAGATCAACACTGTACTTCTCAAACACCGTGGGTGCGTACCCCTGAGGAGGAAGGAAGCTTGTGAGAGGCGGGGGAGGGGCAGGCCAGAACCTCGGGAACGTGTGCCACCCCTGCGGACTCCTAGGTGGCCTGCAGTATGTTGGGGGGGTGGAGGTGAGCTGCCAGCAAGGGTCCTGTAAGGTCCATTCCTGGACCTCGCCCAGTACCTGTGTTACCTAGGCAACTGGGACACCTGGAAGAGGTCACATCCTTATCCTCTGAAGTCACTTCTTAATCTGATGTGGCCACACCTTTCTCCCACCTGATCCTACTACCCTTTACCTGGATACACCCTCCCCCCCTTCCCTATATAAGGCCAAACCCGGGGCCAGACGGTCTCTTTTGCCAGCCGCGTGGAGTGCCAACCTTGCCTGGTCCCAGTAGGTCTACTGAATAAACCTACCCCTTACCTGAATACCACGTGCGTGGTGCAGTTCTTACTCGGCTACCTTCTTTTTAAAAACCTAACAGGTCCCACCCTCTCTGGCCTTGTTCTGTTCCAGGATTCAAGGAGAAGATTAAAGTCCCTAGAATTGAGCATCCCTCCTCCTGGAATGACATAATCATCCTTCGCCCATTTATATGTTCATTCACCTCTCTCTCTCTCTCTCTCTCTTTCCCTCTCTTTCCTCTTTCTTCTGGTTGTTTTGCCAGTCCTGGGACATGAACTCAGGGCCTATGTACTGTCCCTGAGCTTCTTTTGCCCCAGGGCTTCATGCATACTAGGCAAGCAAGCACTCTACCACTAAGCCACATTCCCAACCTTCTTTGTTTTTTCTGCCAATCCTGGGCTTGAACTCAGGACTTGGTGCAGTCTCTGAGCTTCTGTTTGCTCAAGGCTAGCACTCTCCCACTTTGAGCCACAGTTCTCCTTGTGGTTTTCTAGTGGTTAATGGGAGATAAGAGTCTCATGGACTTTTCTTCCCGGGCTGGTCTTGAATCATGATCCTCAGATCTCAGCCTCCTGAGTAGGATAACAAGCATGAGACATTGGTGCCTAGCTTAGATGGCTCTGGTTTAGGCTCTAGCTCTGGTACCCACTAGCTGTGTGGCCTTGATCAGCCCTGTCACTCAAAGGGGAAGGTGTTATGCGTGCTAGTGGATCACACCTGTCATCCTAGGTACGCAGGAGACAGGAGACTGAGATCTCAGAATGGAGGTTTGAAGCCAGCCTGGCCAGGACACACTCTGTGAAACTCTTGTCTCCAATTCACTAGAAAAACTGGAAGTGGTGCTGTGTCTCAAAGTGGTAGATAAGAGCACTAGCCTTGAATAAAAAGGTTCAGGAACAGGGCTGGGAAGTTGGCTCACTGGTAGAGTGCTTGCCTTGCATGCATGAGGCCCTGGGTTCGATTCCACATTAAGCAGAAAAAACTGCAAGTGGCACTGTAGCTCAAGTGGTAGAGCGCTAGCCTTGAGCTGAAGAGCTGAGGGACAGCACCCAGACCCAGAGTTCAGGCCCCACGACCAGATCCAAAAAAAAAAGAAAAAGAAAAAGTTCAGGAACAGTGCCTAGACCCTGAGTTCAAGTTCCATGACTGACCAAAACAAAAAACAAAAAGGTGGGGAGGGGAGGTGTCCCCTCATAGATTGGAGGTGGGGCCCCCGTGTGAATGTTTATTACTTAGCTGATTGCCCAGGTCAGGTGCTTCCCAGCTCGGACCAGCCTGTCAGGGAGCAGGCACTGATGCCTATGGCTGGGCCTTTAGCGTGCCATCCACCTGCCAGTGGTTGGGTCTCCTGCTCTGAGCTGTGGGCGGCCTGCGTCTGAGCTCCCGGGAGACACAGGTGGGATTGACACCACAATCTCTGACCCTGTGACCTTGAATGTCAGGGCAATCGTCTTGCTTGGGGCAACACTGTGTGGCTCTAGAGCCCAACCATCAGCCTGTCCTGAGGAGACCAAACCCCGGTTCCAGCTCCTGGCAGGGGGCTAGGTCCCTAGTCCTTCTGGATGGCTATACAGCCATTCTGCTAGCCGTTGAAATGTGATCTTGAGACTCAGTCCATAACTTCAGTCAGGTTCTTCGACCTTTCCTTCCCCAGGGGCAGAGCCACAGTCCCCTTCCTGCTTCCACCTGACCAGTAAGCACCTCATCTTCTCTGGGGAGCCCAGGCAGAGATGAGTCAACCCATACAGGCCTCAGGATGGACAGGGGGCCATTAGAGGAGAGGGTGTCGGGGATTCCGGGCAGGACACCTCTGGAGGGGCTGCCTGTTCCCAATGGTCTTAGGGCACAGGGCGAGGATCTCCCTAGTGCCACACTCTCTACCTTGCTCCCTCTGACCTGCACTTGAGCTTGAGCCACAGCCGGTGAAAGCCAGTGAAGTGTCTTCCTGGATAGTTCAGTGGTAGAATGCCTGGCTACTAAGTGGCGAGGCCCTGAGTTCAAACCCCAGTATTGCCAAATCTTCAGGCTGATGTCTGTTCTTTGCAGTGGGCAGGAGCCGCTGGTGCCTGGCGGAGGAGGCCGGGCACAGCGCTGGGCTGTGGAGAGTGCCCTGCTGGGCATGCAGACTACCTTTTTTTTTTTTGGTGGTTGTAGGGCTTGAACTCTGGGCTTGGGCGTTGTCCTTGAGCTCTTCAGTTCAAGGGGAGCACTCTACCACTTGAGTCACAGCGCCACTTCCTGTTTTCTAGTGGATTACTGGAGATAAGAGTCTCACGGAGTTTCCTGTCCAGCCTGGCTTTGAACCATGATCCTCAGATCTCAACCTCCTGAGTAGCTGGGATAACAGGTGTGAGCCACCAGCACCTGGCTTGCAGGCTACCTTTCTGATCTCAGTTTTCCCCTCTGCAGTGTGAAGTCTCTTTCTCGGTCTTGAATCTTGTGAATCTGTAAAAACCAGAGGCCACTGGGTATCCATGGCTCACGCCTGTAATCACAGCCACTCCAGGAGGCTGAGATGTGAAGCTCAGGATCTGAAGCCAACTCCAGGCAGAAAAGTCCTCTTAACTCCAATTAACCACCAGAATGCCAAGACTGGAGCTAGGCTCAAATAGTAAAGCTCAAGACCTTGAGTTCAAACCCCAGTACAGGCCCAAATAGACCAAAAACAACCCAGAAGACTTGGCTGTACACCTGCAGCTCAGCATTCACACGGTTGGAGACAGGAAATTAAGTTTGAAGTCAGCGTGGGCTACATAAAAGGCAATAGTTCAAAACAAACAAAAACAAAATAAAGGCATTTCTTGTGCCATGGAACTCAAGTCCCCGGGAGGGAAGAGCCATCCCCCAGCGCCCCCTGGCTGCCCCAGTGCCCTCCAGCGTGTGGACTGCTCAGTGCCCATTTCCACAGGGGAACCTCCCAGAAATTAGCAGAGCCCCTCTTCATCACCCAAGTCGCCATCTAGGACATCAGGTCTTGGTCCTGGTGAGGCCTAAGTCCTGTCTGGACCCCTGTGGTACTCTTCCCAGGCTTCTCCCGGCAACACCTGGGGGGCCCCCGGAAACATGCTTTTAAAGGACATGACATCAGCCGGGCGCTGGTGGCTCACGCCTGTAAGCCTAGCTACTCAGGAGGCTGAGATCTGAGGATCAGGTTCAAAGCCAGCCGGGTTTAAAGTCCCTGAGACTTTAAACCACTCAGAAAACAGGAAGTGATGGCGTGGCTCAAGTAGTAGAGCGCTGGCTTTGAACTCAAGAGCCGAGGGACAGCTCCCAGGTCCAGAGTTCAAGCTCCACGACCAACCAAAAAAAAAAAAAAAAAAGGAGGTGACCTCAATCAACTCTGTGACCGGCAGAGCCTGTGGCTGGCTGGCAGGTGGGAAGACCCCACGCTGCCTGCAGGATGCTGGGACAGGAAGGTAGAGGAGCAAACAGATGGGCTCCTAGGACCCCACTCCTCACACAACCCCAGGGCCCCAGCAGCTGGCATTTGGGGTCTGCTGAGAAAACCCCAGAGGGGAACAACATGTCCAGAGTGCCCGGATGTACCAGGCACAGGAGGCGCTGTCCACCAGCCTTGCATTCACTCTACCTCAGCGCCCCAAGGGCCTCTCTGCCCATGAGGCTGAGCGGGTTACCAAGGGGCACTGGGGTTCCAACCCAGCCGTCTGGCTGTAGAGCTGGCATCCTCTCCTGCCCCAAGTCGGGAGCCGGATGTGTCCTGTAGTGACAAGGGCTGGAGAAGAGATGGTGTCTCCCAAGGATCATTGTTGACCAACTTTCAGTCAGTCTTTGCTGTGCAAAGGCACAGAGAGGGTAAGGAGCTACCCCAAGGGCACACAGCCATTCAGTGGCAAGGACATGAGTTGAATCGTGCCAGGCTGAAGCGATCACGGTCTCCGTGGCCAAGCTGGGTCCCCAAGTGCTGCCTTTAGGCCCTGCTAGGCACCCAGGTAACCTAATTCGGTCCCCACGACCTCCTCTCCCAGGCGGGTGCGGTGCGCCCCCTCCCCTTTGTAGA